ACACAACCAAAACAACAGTCACATTTCATCATCATTTCCATTCACACCACTTCTTCCAAATATCAACGACAGGAACAATCTCCTCCTGGTACCCGCAAGCATTAGAACTCTCACAAGGCGCTACGCAAGAAATTAAGCAAGATATTATATACGATATCAAATAATCTACTGCTTTCGCCTGTCATGTTGCGAGCTTGCACATCACTTCACATCAACCACTCGAGGTAAAGGCACTCAAAATAATCTAAAAACCGCTTCCCGATGTCATGCCCGACGAGATGACTATCGACAATTCTCGGTCGACCACAAAGACCGCGAGACCTGTGGCGGTTTAGAACGTGCAAAGGAACGCACTGCAGCGACGCTGCTTCGTCTGTTTTCTGGGCGGTGTATGTGAAAGATATATGATATCAAGAGCGTATAGTAAAGAAGCTTGTCTTTATACGCTCCTTATACCTCTTGAATATGAATATTATATATATAGGTATTATATATATATAAAAGAGAGCAGAGAAAGAGAGAGAGAAGACGAGAGAGAGAGAGAGCAGAGAGAGAAGAGAGAGAGAAGAGAGGGCAGATGAGAGAGCGGAGAGATGAGAGGAGAGAGAAGAGAGAGAGGAGAGATTATGAAATATATTATGGTCGTCATCTAACTAAACATAGAGCGCTTGATAAATACCCAAATGACTGACGACGTATATGGCAAAATATCAGCAGCTTATTAAATATATCTCTCTTCTCTCTCAATGTGCTTATCTTACCACTTTGCGCAAATATGATTTGTACAGTTAAGACACATCGCCGTTCGGTTGCATCATCCGTCGCGCCGCGTAGTTGTCACTTCCATCTCTCTCGTGCGCCATCTCCAGGCGGTTATTGAACTCGACTCCGCGTCGTTAGCAACGAGTGGCTTCGTCTCAGTGTTGTTCTGGATTGCACTTAAGTGATGGTCGGATCCGGTTGCCTCCAGCGTAGCGGATCCTGTTTGGTTTCGGTCCGGCCCTGCGAACGCTCTCTAAGTGACCGTAGCCTCTGGTGTGCTACCGTGGGTTGTTCGTGTGTGCGGTCGGGCGAGAGAGCGGCGGTGATGTGTGTGTGTGTGTGTGTTCGTGTGTGTGTGAGTCGTGTGTTTCTGTGGTGTGTGTGCGCCAGTGTGTGTGTGTGTGTGTGGTGTGTTGTGGTGTGTGTTGTTCGTGTGTGTGTGCGTGGAGTGTGTTGTGTGTGTGTGTCTGTCTGTGTGCGTGTGTGTGTGTTGTTGTGTGGTGTGTGGTGTGTGTGTGTGTGTATCATTCACCTCGCACGTAAGAAACGTCATCGTCGTCACTCTGCGCGTCTTCACGGCTATTCGCTTGCCATCCATACCATCACCAGCTTACAACACTCTGTCCATCCCTATATATTCTCTGTGTTGATTTATTTTTCTAAGAACTATTGATTCTAATTAAACGAACAATCTGAACAATAACTGAAACTGTCAACATGGCAATCTTCTACACGTACAGATATGCGGTTTAATAATGAGAGCGTCGGTGCCTTTGCTAGATGACTATTGCTAAATGACTAATCGATACTTTTAGACGCAAATTAAACGCGTGGAATTGTTTGTTCTTTGAAGTGTTCCCCTTAGTGGTGGTGCGGAGAAGAAACAGGTCGTACAATAAATAGTGTATATATAATCATAGATATACAATATATGATATATATAATTACATAGTATACAACTGGACGGTGTTTTATTGTTATCACTTTATCAGAAAACACTGCATTCTCTGATTTACATGCTTCTTCACTTCGGTGAGACGAAATTCAGCTAATCACAATCTCGCCTCATTACTACGAGAATAAGAATACACAATTTAGGTACGATCATTGAGTCACGTGAGAATCATTATACTACCGCAAGTGCGCGTCGAATAAGAAACAATAATTGGCTGTACAAAAAGATGAGGTCGGGCGTAAGAAATTAACAAATACAATAGCGATTGTCGCAGAGTACCGGAATAGTCTTAGCGTGGAGATATAGTGCCATATAAATTGTCGACCAGTCGTAGCACATAGTATTCTCGCCACCCATCCCCCCCTTCGGTTCATGTTCGTCAGAGATGTCCCGCGTCTCACATCTCTCTGTCTGTCTGTCCTACAAATTTTCATCGTGACCTTTCACACACCGCGGTCCCACCCTGGTGACTACCGTCTATCTGTCATCGCGCCCTACCGAGCCTTCCTATTTATACGGCATAATACATCTTTGGACTGCGATTTACGCCATGCCAAGAGGAAACATGAATGACACGTCCATACTTAATTTGCTTGTATCGTCTCAACAGAGGAACGGATGTGTCGCTGAAATAACCCGTGAACCCTCGGTAGCACCTCGCGTCCGGTTCTCCATCTTGGGTGGGGGAGTCGAAATGTCAGAGCACACCAGCTCTCGTACTCGGCGCGGGTCCTTACACTATCGTCTGACACTGTCTGGTCTACTTCACGAACCCAGAATCCCGTTCTCCTACTCCGTCTGGTGAAATTCTATCCATAAGAGTACAACCATATAATAATCACACTGACTTTTTCTTGTTGTTACGGATCACGTTTCGCGATACACGTTCATATCCTTGTTTCGTGTTACTTCGTTCCACTATAATATGCAAGTTTGCAAACACTGTTATCATAAAGACGGTTGCAAACGGCGGGGATGCCGGCAATAAGGGTTGAAGAAAGAATCATTGAGGCGAGAAGGTTATGAGATTGTGATGCAGATGATTACGTGAATGCTAGATTACCTACAACGATGAAAATCGATATAAACATAAAGATTTGTTTTTACATTAATATTATTCATTATATAAGAATGCGCAAGAACGTGGGAATAACCAGTTAATGCTTTTACTTTCATTTCTGTTCCGAAGTTCGCCGTAAAGTGTTACGCATACGAGTCGTTAAGCTGGAAAAAAATAAACCAAGGTAAATAACACTGGATAATAATCTGAATATTAACCTGCGGTTTGACCTGGCTGCTACCACGGTCAAACCTGCGCTATAAGCCAATACATCTCTAGTAGCACACGTATCGTTAGAGTATGGAGAACATTTCCCTGTCGAACTACTTGAATAGCAACAAAGGTCTCGCTAACATATTATATGCTACCGCGTTATATAGCATCGCGCTAATACCGCCAAAATTTGGTCTCAGATTTCAACCCTGTATTCTCATGCGGTTATATAAGTGCCGATATACCGTGAGGGGAAATTTTGTTCATCGATCGTGCTGAGTCTTGTCACTCGCGGGGCGATAATGGCGTGAATCTAAACGTTCATTAAATAAACTGCATAAAATGCGTGTTTGCCTAAATGTTTTGATAATGATTGAAATATTTATGAATTGCCTATAAGTGGACTCTTCAACACATGTCATGATGTGCCTCATAATCTGGCTTTACGAATCTGTATAAGAAAGAAGACAAACTATGCGTGCGGTTTAATACCTGAACTTAGCGCCAATACTCTGGTTACCCGAAATCAAACAATTGAGGTCAGGCTGTATGGCGCCGCGGTTAATTACCGATCATGATACGCTAATATCCGAGACTATGCTTCACTCATTCTTGATCTTATACTATAAAAATGACCCAATACCTAGGACGTTCCATGAACACAGCATCAAAAAATCTGCATGTAAGATTGGCCAAGTATTCGACGGGCGTCAGTAGTTCCGCTGCTTATCGCATGCTGGCAGGCGCACGGAAATTGACGATTAAGGTTCCAGACTTGATCTGCGACGGATAATGGCATGAATAATAGGTGGCGCTGCGACGACTTGATAAAATGCCTATCCTGGTAGAGGATATCGGACACCTGTTCGTAGCTACAGCCTGGCCCTCTCTGCTACACTTTTCATGATTAAACCATTCGGATTAAGGTTCATAAGTCAGCTAGACATTAAGACTGGCACCAACGCTTTCCCTGATTATAATTATGACACTAATTCAAGTATATACATGAGCTTCGCAAACTACCGTTCTACCGTGACAATCAAATATTGCATTTCATTGTTATAGAAAGAAATTTCACTTTAAAAATGAAAAAGAATCATTATAACTAAAAACTTTTTTCATCATTCCCTAATTCTCCGTATACCAATAACGTACAATAATTATATATATATATATATATATATATATATATATGTGTGTGTGTGTGTGTGGGGGGGGGTGTGTGTGTGTGTGTGTGTGTGTGTGTGTGTGTGTGTGTGTGTGTGTGTGCGTGTGTGTGTGTGTATGTGTTGTGTGTGTGTGTGTCGTGCTGTTGTGTTGTGTGTGTGTGTGTGTGTGTGTGTGTGCCGCGCGCGTGTGTGTATGTGAGTGTGTGTGTAGTGTGTGTGTGTGTGGTGTGTGTGTGTGTGTGTGTGTGTGTGTGTGTGTGTGTGTGTGGTGTGTGTGTGTATACTTAAATACAATGTACACACACACCACCACACCACCACACCACGCGCGTACGAACACACATAGGTACACACGCGCTCCGCACACGCACGCGCGAGCACACTCACAAACAAACAAATACACACACACGCACGCACACACACACACACGCGACGCTACGCACGCACGCACGCACACACCACACCACACACACACACAACACACACACACACATACACACACAAACACACACAAACACACACCACACACACCACACATACGATACGTACGTACTAGTACGTACGTACGTACGTACGTACGTACATACATCCAATACACTACATACATACATACTACTACATACATACATACATACATACATACATACATACATACATACATACATACAATACCCATACATACATACATACATACATACATACATACATACATACATACATACATACATATCATACATACATACATACATACATACAACACACACACACACACACACACACACACACACACACACACCCACACACAACACACACACACACACACACACACATACATACATACATACATACATACATACATACACTACATACATACATACATACATACATACATACATACATACATACATACATACATACATACATACATACATACATACATACATACATACATACATACATACATACATACATACACACACACCACATACATACTACATACATACATACATACATACATACATACATCACATACATACATACATACATACATACATACATACATACATACATACATACATACGCACGCACGCATGCACAAACACACACATATATTACAATAATTATTGTTCGCCTATATATTTGCTCGTATATATATATATATATATACATATATATATATATATATATATATATCTAGTGTACCTGTGCATAAAATATATTAACCTGAAGGACCTCTCTCTCCAGGCTTACATCTGTTACGGAAATTACGGAATATATATATATTATATATATATATATTATATATACTTATATACACATATATATAACGTAATTACTTCAAAATAATCTACTGGATTGATTACATGTGACTCTCGAACTCGTTACTATATGCTGGCGGTAGGTCGCTGTCTTGTCCTTGTAATAATGCGGCCCTGCCGGGTTAGGTAAGTTGTGCAGCGTTGGCCTTCATCTCGTTAACATGACTCATCTTCCTCTTCTGGCTAGGGTCTCGGCAGGTGCCCCACTCCTCCGTCGCCATGAACAACTGGAAGACCGACTGAGAAAACGTCGGAGAGAGGAAGACAGTTAGAGACACGGCCAATAGACGAATATACAATATATATATATATATATATATACTATATATATATATATATATATATATATATATAACACTGCACATGAAGCCACGAATGCAATATAAGTATATAATACAACGAAATACGTGATATAGACTTATACATACTCCACATGATGCACGAATGCATATAAGTATATAATACACGAATACGTGATATAGACTTAATACATACTCCACATGATGCACGAATGCTATAATAGTATATAATACACGAATACGTGATATAAGACTTATACATACTCCACATGAATGCACGAATGCATATAGTATATAATACCACGAATACGTGATATAGACTTATACATACTCCACATGATGCACGAATGCATATAAGTATATAATACACGAATACGTGATATAGACTTATACATACTCCACATGATGCACGAATGCATATAAGCTATTAATACACGAATACGTGATATAGACTTATACATACTCCACATGATTCACGAATGCATATAAGTATATAATACACGAATACGTGATAATGACTTATACATACTCCACATGATGCACGAATGCATATAAGTATATAATACACGAATACGCGCTGTATAGACTTACACATACTCCACATGATGCACGAATGCATATAAGTATATAATACACGAATACGTGATATAGACTTATACATACTCCACATGATGCACGAATGCATATAAGTATATAATACACGAATACGTGATAAGACCTAATATACATAATATGGAAATATATGAAATGCGGGAATATATCAGCGTGTATTTCTATTCGCACGACGAGCCGCGGCGATGATGTGACGAATCGGGGCGATGGCGATACCACGCGGTGACTTCAGTATCGTACTCACAGGTGCCATATAGTATGGAAGACCATTACCGCCAAAACCTACCTATTTTAATCGCGCTTAAAATGTATTTTAAGCGCGATTGAATTCCAGCCAATCAGAACAGTGGTTTTTCATCGCGCTTAAAATCGATATAATATTTTAAGCGCGATTAAAATAGGTAGGTTTTGGCGGTAATGGCCTTTCATAGTACGGTCGCAAGTGACGGCAGCACTTACCATGCCAGCAGGCTTGGTTGCCACAGTAATGGCGGCGAAGATGGGAACCTGTATTACGGACAAGTAGAGCAAGCATCCATCCAATACCGTTGGCCCACGGCGGGTACACGTAGCTAGCGTATTTGATCGGTGTGTAGTCAATCCACGTGAAGAACAAGATGAACTGCGGAGGAAAGATGCGTGATGAAAGTTTAGAACGCGCGTGGTGTCTCTCCTCTCTCTCTGTGTGTGTGTGTTGTGCGTGCGTGCGTGCGTGCCTAGCGTCTGCGGCGTGCGTGCGTGTTGTGTGTGTGTGTGTGTGTGTGTGTGTGTGTGTGTGTGTGTGTGTGTGCGTGTGTGTGTGCGTGTGTGTGTGTGTCGGTGTGTGCGCGCGTGCGCGCGGGAATACTCGTCCGTGCGTGTGCGTGCGCGTGCGTGCGTATTGTGCGTGCATGATGTTAGTAGTGGTTGCGGACCGTACCAGAAGGATGGCAGGCGTCACGAATTTCCACATGATTTGCCATCCGATGAACGGTCTGTAGCCTATCATCATAGCAATGTCGTCGCCAAACCGCCGAGTTTGCGGAGACTTTACATTCGGAACATCTGAAACACGAAGTTTATATATTCCAGATTATATAACACACAACACGGAGGCTCGCGTATGCAATCATAGATTTACCTTAATTATGGGGGGCCGGAGTATGAGAGTAGGGCCTACTAGTATGAAAGTACTGTAAGTGTATGGGCTAATGATAATTCAGTACTAGAGCATATGTTTGTGGTAGCATATGTGTGGTAGCACATATATGTGTGAACATATGTTAGTGGTAACCTCGAAACTGCCTTGCAGTTTGCGAATGTTCAATGTTAAATAGTTGTTTTAGTTAAATAGTTAACATAAATATATATATATATATATATATACCTACACACATATTCGCGCACGCACGCACGCACGCACACACGCACACGCACACGCGCGCGCGTGTGTGTGTGTGTGTGTGTGTGTGTATGTGCGTGTGTGTGTGTGTGTGTGTGTGCGTGGGTATGTGTGTGTGTGTGCGTGCGTGCGTGCGTGCGCGTGTGTATGTGTGTGTGTGTGCGTGCGTGCGTGTGTGTGTGTGTGTGTGCGCGTGCTGCCGTGCGGTGTGTAGTGTTTGCTGTGGTGGTGGTCGTGCTGCGTTGTGTGGTGTGTGTGCCGTGCTGTGCGGTGTTTCGGTGGGTCGTGTGGTTTGGGGCGTGTGTGTTTGTGTGTGTGCGTGTGTATCTGTGCGTCGCGTGCGTGGATGTTTTGTGTGTGCGTGCGATGTGTGCGTGTGTGCTGGTCTGTGCTGTGTGTGTGTGTGGTGTGTGTTGTGGTGGGGGGGGGGGTACGATGTGTGTGTATAGGTGTGCGGCGTGCGGTGCGTGCCTGGCGTGCGTGCGTGTGTGGTGGTGTGTTGTGTGTGTGTGTGTGGTGTGTGTGTGTGTTGTGTGTGATGTGTGTGGTGTGTGTGTGTGGTGAGCTGTTTACTAACCGTATAACGCATCAGATGACCGATGGCCATTCCCAGTAACGCTTAGTAATCATTACGACCACCGGTCGGCTGTAACTGTCGATAGAGTTAGACCGTAAGACTCGCTCAACGCTGCGAGCGCAGCAATAGTTAACATAGTAGCAGCTTTAGTAAGCTTAAACGACTTGAAATTCGGAATTAGTCGCAGTCTAGAGAGGTCATTGTCTGAATCAATCATATTACTCATCCTCTGAAACGATTCAGAAATAAGGCGTTTCCTTCGTTCGGTTTTTGCTCGAGAAGGTACGAAAATTAATTAATCGATTCTTAAATGAAGGCTCGTTGATTTTCGTGGTGCAGACGGGTTTCCATTCAGAATTGGCATTGCGTAGAAGGACGGAATAGTGAGTCAAACCCGTTTCCCAGGTAAAAAAAAACATTCCCAACTTGCCCATATTTCCACAGCTGCTCAGCACACAGGTGTCTAGTTAGGCCGCTCCGATACCATTCGTTATCTATCTGAACTAGCTTTTGAAAAAAAAATTCCTTTTCAGAATTCGCCATCTTGTGTCCAAGAAATTACTCAGGCTTTCACCGTTCTTCCGGTTTAACAATTTAGTCGCAATCACGCAAAAATTATCTGGTATTTCTGGATTCACAAATTAAATAAAAATATGTCCAATCACACCGTCTCGAAGAGGAAAGCTGACCTGTCTCCTGCTACGTTGCTGTCTGGACACCAACTGAATTGTCATTTCGCCCCTCCCATCCCTTCTAATTTATCTAGTTTCATTTGTTTTGTCTTACTAGAATTTGTCTATTAATTACCTTGCTTAACTAATAAGTAGCTTCAATCTTTTCAAATAAAGTATAATTGATTTCATTTGAATGATAACCATGTGCTGTCGTAGGCTCTCGCGATGGCCTTGCGATGCATACCTGACGCGTCATTGATATCCCAGCGAGGAAGCCACAGAGTGCAGGCGGCAAGCAGCACCGCACGCCTGTACTTCCGCAGCGGACTGTGTGGAACTTATCTAAAGACAGCCCGCGTCGTCAAGCGTTTCCATCATCGCTGAACTGTGGAGTGATATATATGCCTATATATAGTAGTATAGATATATATTATGTAGCTGTGTGTGTGCATGTGTGTGCTTGTGTGTCGTGTGTGTGTGTGTGTGTGTGTGTGTGTGTGCGGTGGTGTCGTGTGGTGTGCGGGCACTGTGCTTGTGTGTGTGTGTGCGTGTGTGGTCGTTGGTGTGTGTGTGTTTGTGTTGAGTGAGTGTTGTGTGTATGCGTGTGTGTGGTGTGTGTGTGTGCGCTGCGCTGCGTCGTGTGTCGTGGTGTGTGGTGTGTGTGGTGCGTGCGTCGTGTGGTGTGTGTTGTGTGCGCGCGCGTGTGTGGGTTGTGTGTGTGTTTGCGGTGCGCGCCGCGCGCGTGGTGTGTGTGTGTGTGTGTGGTGTTGTGTTGTGTGTGTGCTGTGGTGTGTGTGCGTGTGTGTGTATGGTGGGGAACAAAGATTGAATATATATACATTAATATTATTATTATTATTATTATTAATATATCAGCACAAAATTCAAT